TTGCCCTGTCCGACGTCTCCCTTCACCCACTTTTCTGTTGTCCGTCCCCCAGGGAGGAGGTCACATAGAGTTCCTCATTTTCTTTCTACTTAAGCCCTTGGTATCAGCTCATTTCCCCCTCCCTCCCTCATGAACCCTGGATAATTTTTAAATTATTATTTTTTCGTGTCTTGCGCTGTCCGATGTCTCCCTTGACCCCGTTGTCTGTCAAGTGACTTCCTCTTGTAGGCGCCCTCAGAGCTAGAGGGCTGGCATTAGGCTGCTGACCACAAAGTGGGCGGGAATAGGAGCCGCTCTGCTCCCATAAAGCTCTTCAACCACAGACACCCAGAGAGGCAGTTCCACTCTGTCCTGCGGGGGCGCTGGGAGTTCGAATCTACTTCATGGCAGTGAGGTCGGTTTGGTTTGGCTTGTTCCCTTTTTCAAATTGCTGTCTGTGGTTTGAATTTTTATTTTCTTTGGCAGAATTAATGTCGGTTTTATTTTGAGCTGAGTGCCAATTCTGTAAATAATTTCCGTGGCTTTTTTTTTTTTTTTTTTTAGTATTCTGATATAAGGGGCCCTGGTGACATCATAGTTAAGAACGTGGCCACTAGCTGGACCCGTCCAGAGGCTGCTCAGGGGAAAGATCACAGACTGGGAGGCCCGAGGGAGCAATTTCTTTGAGTAAAAAATGACTTGAATAATTATTATTATCATAATGTAATTCCAAATATTTACTGCCAACTAGGCCCTATAATAGACTGTTTACAGATATCTTTTCCCTCAGTCTGCACAATGAGCTAGAAATTGTTAGACATTAGCTAGCTCGATGTTGTCATCCCTGTTTTAAAGACTAGAAAGTTGAACCTCATCAAGATTAAGTAAGTTCCCTGTAAACAAACCTTAGAGACAGGGTTTGTGATTAAGGCCTTTCTGGTTTCCACTGTACCAAATGATCTCTGTGGAGCTAGAAAAAGAGAAAGGAGTGGTCATGCTGCTCAAATCAAGGAAAATGTGCTTTTAGAAATTTCTTGATGGTGAAGTATCAAATAGGGCAAACCTGGTTCTGGAACTTTCCAGAGACTTTTCAGAGTGTTTTCACCCTCATTGGACAAAGATAATTTAAAAAACAGAAATATCGTCCCAAAGTTAAGAAAAAGATTTGCTAGGAGCCCTAACATAGAAAGTGATTATGAGTTTGTAGAGCTCTGGCTTTGGTTTTATGCCCCTCAGACTTCGCTGTGATCCAGACTAAGAATTTAATGTCAAACAGGAAGGTTCTATATTATTTCTCCTGCTCAACTACTCTCCTCCCCAGGAAAATGAGTTACTGCCTGTTCAGGACTCCCAGATCACAGTTAATAGAGACACATCAGTGTTGGCCAGCTCCAGAATTCATGGTCTCCTGGATAGAGGCTCGCTTCCTTAAGGACGGCATCTTACTCTTTCTATGCTCTGAGCTTGGTGTGGAATCGCATTGGACGGATGCATAAACTGCAAAAGGAAGGCGCACAGAAGGGAATTTAAATAAATTT